TTTGCGCTCAATAGCCATTAGCACTTTGCAGAGTGAATGTATCTGTCTGGTGAACTAAGGTGAGTTTGAGAAGTATGTACTGGAGGGGAGGATGGCTGACTTCAGGAAATGCATATTCTTAGCTTTGCCCCCAAGTAAAACAAATTGTGTGAATATTCTTAGATTGCTCAAAATAAACTGAGCAGTGAATTTCATGTAAGGTCAAACTAGTGACTCAAACAGTGATACCTTAGACATACAACAACCTACCATTTGGCTTTCAAGATGTTACATAACATACTTTTGAATTGTACATTTACTTTAATTATATAACTACATCCTCAGGATCAGAGTGGAAGTAATGTTATATTTGTCTATCTCCCTGACTATTATATCTACCTATCATAGTTGTCTACTATCTACCTACCTCTTTCCCAAATATACTACTATAATTGTTTTAGTCTGTTAGCCTTACAGAATTCTTTCTTGGAATTTTAACTAAGAATATCAAAATACAGTATATGCAGATGCCTCTGGAAGGGGGTTAAAAAGGTCTGTGCCTTATGATTTCTATTTCCCTGATAGAGGTTGTCTAGTGGAGAAGAGGAGAGACCAAACAAATTAACAGAGGAGGATAATGAAAAAGGGAAGACTAGGAAAATTTTAGGATGAAGATTGTAGGATATAGAATACTACTTATATTAGATATTTTTCTTCTTTTTTAAATATGTTAAATCTGAAATACATGCTCATTTTTGAAAATGTTGAAAATATTAAAAAAACATGAAAATATTAAAGGAACAGAAAAACATAGCATGACTCCCACCAACCTCAACACAACTGATGGCATTTCTGTATATTTCTTCCCAGACTTTAATCTCTTTTTTCTTTAATTTTCACATAGTTGTGTTTATTCAATATATGCAGTTTTGTTGTTTGCTTTGTCCAATAAATAATATAACATGGAATCAGTGTCTTTGTGAATAAATATTTTAGTATTTTAGATTATCTTGAAATCTAGATTTTTCAGTAGTGAAGTTAATAGGTTAAATATGTATGCACTTTTAGATTCTTAACCTCTAGAAAATTCTGCTAATTTTCATTTCCATTTTATATTTCAATTTACACTCATTTGCAAGTTCTAAAGCCCCCAGTGGGACTTCGTGTCCTACTGGGTAGCATAATTGACTTTCATCAGCAGTGAATTGATCATTTTTATTTAATTTGTGAATTTAACATAAATTGATAAAAATTTATGCTTTACTTTTCAGTTTTGAATTTTTTTTGATTATTAGTAATGCTTTTTTGCTTTTTATGTGCTTATTGGCCATCAGTATTATACTTTTTGTGAATTATCTAAGCATATGTTTGTATCTCTTAATTCTCATATTTTAATATTTAAATTCATATATTTTAATTTTTTATGGATTATATTTTTACACTTTGTTAAATTAATTATATATTTTCAAAGCTTGTCACAGGTTTTTTATTTTATTGTTAAAGCTTTATCATTACTTTTGTTTTTTAAGACTGATTTTATTGAAAAATAGTTGATTTATAATGTTGTAATGTGCTTTTTAATGCATGAGCATTTTAAGGTGCCATGTGTTCACATGCATCTACTTATTCCTTTATGCTTTCTGCCTTTAATTTTATTCTTAAGAAGGTTTTCATCATTCCTGAATCAGATAATTCCTCATGTTGTCTTGTGTGTTTCATGCTTTATATTCAACCCTTTGATCTCTCGGGAACTTATCTGGGTGTAAGGCCATGATGCATGGATTTGCTTTGATTTACTCCCCTCTTATCTCCTTGTCCTAGCCCTTAAGGCCCCACATGACCTGGCTCCTGCCTATCTCACTAAACTCCATCATCTCTGTCATGGTCTGGGCACAGGTTGGAAAATAATTTCCAGACATGAGACAGAATGAGAGGGAAATAAAGTTTATTAGAGTGGGAGACGCTGTTATAACAGTGGGCCAGCTCAAGGGAGAACTGATGTTGAATAGGGGTCTTTAGTTCATTTTTATACCCAGGGTACAGGAGTGTGATAGGGGTCTTGCGGGTCATTTGCTGATTGGATGTATACTGGGTGGGAGAAGAGTAGGGCAAATACCTTCTCCCTATAGGGTAGGAGGGGAGACAGGTTATACTGGTCCATTAATAGTTACAACATGGGGGAGGGAAGGACGATAAGGGTCTGGTTTTTCTGTTCCTGCATTCCAAGACCCTCCTTGGTTTCATCTGCTCTTTTGTCCTTGGATCACCACATTCCTCCCTCTGTTTTTAGGGCCAATTCTTTGGCCCCTTTTGATGCCCTGCTTGATACCTCTACCTATTTCCCTTCTCAGGCATTTGGGAACCCAGTTTCAGGGGAAAAGGGGCGATGACCACTCTGGCTTCTTCAGGCTATACAGGGGTGTCATGGGGCTCTGGGTTTCCTTTGCCTGCTCTCTGTCAGGGTGCATTTATGGAGGGAGATGAGAGTCCATGGAATGATAAGGTGGCTTGTTTCAGCATTGTCTGGGTGTTGGCCAGGAAATATTCTTGTCAGATTATCACTTGGAGATTTGTTGTATTCTAGAAGAAACAAACTTAACAAGAAATTTAGAGATACATGGCCCAAATATTAATAGAAGTAGAAAAGCTTCTGAGAAGATATCCAGGAGAACCAGGACTAGACATTGTTTCACGACATTAGTGTTCCTCTAGGTACGAGAGGATGCAACAATTTGGGCTCATTAAATCTTTACCTGAAAACATCTGACTATCTGAAGGCCTTATCCCAGAGCACAGAGTGTCTTATTTCTGATCTCCACCTTGAACTCCTTTCAAGGGGGTGTTGAAGTTCAGCAGCTTGCAGTGGTCATGATGTAATCTTTGTAGACGCAGCTGGCAAGTGTCAACTTTCAGTCAGCTGAGTCCCTTCATAGCCACATATTTGACCATGCTTTGGGGCATTCATGGCCATTTTCTCCCATGGAGCTGGGAAGGCTCTTTCCCAGGTCTAATGAAGATTCCACTGACAGGCCACTCAATGTGCTATTACTAGACCTGGCCTTGCAAGCGGCAGAAGTCTCTGGACCATACCTGTCTTACTAGCCTCTTGGTCCAGGAAAATATCCTCTCTTGCTGCTTCTTCTCATATCTAGAGTTACATTATTACAATCATTGATCTCATATGGAACTGCATATCAACATTTTATCACAGGCTCAGTCACACATTTAGTAACATAAGAAACAATCTTCTGAAACAAGTTACATAGAAAATAATATAGCTAGCAGTTATTAATAAGGTCATAAGTAAGAATTATAAGTCAAGAACTTTCATTAGGTAGAGCCCAATATACCCCCAGGTCATCTGACTTCATTTGTTAAATGACTATACCCTGGTGTTAATATCCTGGTTGTACATCATGGAGCATCTGATCTTTATCTGAAGATTGCTTACTAGATAAGCTTTAGAAACAAACTTAGAGTTTCCTTTTTAATAACAATTCAATCTTTTAGCAATATAACATAACAACAATGAACTATCTCAGAGGTGAGTCTTAGTAAACACTAGACCTTAATTAACAAAACTAGAAACTTAGTTTGACAATTAACAAAGCTTAATATTCAGTGAAACATAATTTTTTCATTATGAGGGCATTAACCCTATAGCCAGGGAAGGCTTTAACTCATCAAATAAAAATGAGCTTTGTCAGGGAGCCAAGAAAATCCAAGTGGCCATCTTGGATTTCCCNCCCCCCCCCTTTTTTTTTGGCTTGGAGTTCTAATTTGCCCAAGGCTGAGGTCTCAGACAAACGGGGCTCTGTGTTTCAAGGACATGGAAAGGGTTAATTTCAAGTTTTCCCCTAGGCAGGCCTTTAAACAATCTAGTTGTTTTTAATTGCATATACGAAAAGAACTGGTTTTGCAGTTTCCAAGAAAAAAAATTCACTTTAACCAGTTTTCTCTGGAGTCTAAAGAATATTATGGCCACCCTGTGTCAAAAAGTTATCTTTCCTTTCTGTAGTTGTAATTTTATAGCAAAAATAAAGACCAAATAGTGCTCAAATTGACTCTGGTATCAGGGGTAGATCAGCTGATAAAAATCTTAGATTGTCCCTCTGGTGGGAAGGCAGTCTTTGTCCCATCAGAAGAATCCGAAGGGTTAAGGGAATTTGCAGGAATGGGGAAGCTTGGTCCTTCCCCACCCTGAAAAACTGGAGTAGTTAGATGGGAATTCTTTAGGATGTTCAGGAGAGAGGGAAGCTTTGTTCCCTCTCCACTTGAGAGAGAAGCATAGTTAGAAGGGGATTCTTTAGAATGTTAGGAGAGTTTTTGATCCTTCAGGCTTTGAATATGGGAGAAAGACCTGGACCAAAGGGGACCTCAGAATCCTTTCCTAGCAATCATGTGGATATGAAAGGTTGAGTAGGGGTCACCTAGGAAATCTGACGGAGAGAGACAGAGGGGGACAGGAGATAGGGAAGCAACAGAACACAAGGAAATTCTGAGTCTTTTCCCTGCTTTTGGCAAAAATTAATGTGCCATTCAGAGGCCATTTTTTTGGGTCCCACAGTTTGTATTGTGCCCAGGCCTTTTGCAGGGTCAAAGTTTTCCAGTTTCTGAAAATGCGGCCAAGGGGTGAGTCTGAGAGAGGCTCCTGAGACATTTTGTTGCAGGAAGGGGAACCCCTCCCAGGGCCCGACACTGGGCTCTTGTCTAACACTCAGAAATGAACTGTCCGAGGAGACACATATGCTGACAAAGCAAGAGATTTTATTGGGAAAGGGCACCCAGGTGGAGAGCAGGAGGGTGAGGGAACCCAGGAGAGCAGCTCTGCCACATGGCTGGCGGTCTGGGTTTTATGGTGATGGGATTACTTTCCGGGTTGTCTTTAGCCAATCATCTGACTCAGAGTCCTTCCTGGTGGTGCACGCCTAGTTTAGCCAAGATGGATGCCAGAGAGAAGGATTCTGGGAGGTGGTCGGACATGTGGTGTCTCCTTTTGACCTCTCCCGAACTCTTCTGGTTGGTGGAGACTTATTAGTTCCGTGTTCCTTACCAGGACCTCCTGTCGTAAAACAGCTCCTGCAAGTGATTGCTATGGTGCCTGGCCAGGGTGGGAGGTTTCAGTCAGTGTGCTTCCCCTAACAATATCAGAACCCATCCTTAGCCTATATGCTGTAGAATGGGGATACTGAGAGTCACCAACTGGCAAAAAGTCATCCCTTTTTTGTCTCAGTGGCGTCACTGTGCGACTAATGGCACAAAATGGCCAACCATCCCAACAGTCGCATCCGACAGTGAGAGGTGACCCCTGAGAACTGTGCGGCTAAGGCACCTGTGACCCAGGCAGAGAAAGACAGAGGTTCCAGGGAGCAACTGGGTGACTCACCTTTTGGCAATTCCCTGAAACGTGGAAGGCACTCTTGGGATGGCTCAGAGACAACATCTAGGCTCCTGTAAATCAATCCAGACCGAAAGGGAAAGAAGTGAAAGTGACAGGGAAGAGGACTGAGGAATCCGCCTTACTATTCTATCGGGGAGGTGGTGGCCAGGGACGATGGCCTCTGGTTTGTTTCAACCACTCTGAGCCTGACACGGTGCATGGAAGTTGTCTTGCTGGGAGTGGATGCCCTTGTGGAATGATCCGTTCCATGTCCCCCTTATCCTCACACGGAAGTCTTCATGTGGCAGGCGCCCTAATGACTTTTAAGTGCCTGACCTGTGCCCACACACTATTGCTTGGCCTAATCCTCAGTTGGAAAGGAGACAAAGCAGAGACCCTCACCCGTTCGGGCGGCAGCTACTGGGGCTCAGTGAGCAGTGGGGCCTTTGGAACACACCGGAGGGAGACCCTGGCCAGAGTTCCTCAGCTTCCACAACAGTTGCCTGTTCGCATAGGGTCCCTATGAAAAAGGAGAAGTGAGGAGGTGGGGGAAGAGACCCCAAGTTCCCCGTACAGGCCACCAAAGATGTCGTGGTCTGGGCGCGGGTTGGAAAAGAATTTCCAGACATAAGACAGAATGAGAGGGAAATAAAATTTATTAGAGTGGGAGACACTGTTAGAACAGTGAGCCAGCTAAAGGGAGAACCCATGTTGAATAGGGGTCCTTTTATACCCAGGGTACCAGGCGTGGGATAAGGGTCTTGCAGGTCATTTGCTGGTTGGATGAGGCATGTATACTGGGTGGGGAAGAGTAGGGCAAATACCTTCTCCCTATGGGGTAGGAGGGGAGACAGGTTATACTGGTCCATTAATAGTTACAACATGGGGGAGGGAAGGAGGATAAGGGTCTGGTTTATCTGTTCCTGCATTCCAAGACCCTCCTTAGTTTCATCTGCTCTTTTGTCCCTGGGTCACCACCATCTCCACTCTTCCCTGGTCACTTCTCTCCAGCCACACTGTCCTTTTTACTCTTCCTTTACACCCCAAGTTGGTTCTTTCTTTAATTTTGATTCCTTTGCTTGGAAACCCCTCCCGAGATCACTATATGGGTTTTTCCTCATCTCTTTCAAAAAAGTCCTACTGACCCCTATGCCTTTTTTAAAATGAGTTTTTATTGGAGTTATACAGTTATATGGTTGCTTTACAGTGTTGTGGTAGTTTCTACTGTAGAGCAAAATGAATCTGTTATATATATCCCCTCTTTTTTAAATTTCCTTCCTATTTAGGTCACTACAGAGCCCTGAGTAGAGTTCTTGTGCCATACAGGTTCTCATTATTAGTTATTTATTTTATACATAATATCAACAGTGTGGGGCTTCCCTGGCAGCTCAGCTGATGAAGACTCTGCCTGCAAAACGGGAGACCTGGGTTCGATCCTTGGGTTAGGAAGATCCCCTGGTGAAGGGAAAGGCTACCCCCTCCAGTATCCTGGCCTGGAGAATTCTGTGGACTGTATAGTCCATGGGGTCGCAAAGAGTTGGAAACGACTGAGCGACTTTCACTTGACCACTTGACTTGACTTGATCAGTAGCGTGTATATGGCAATCCCAATGTCTCAGTTCATTCCATTCCCTCCTTTCCCCCTTGGTATTCATATATTTGATCTCTACATCTGTGTCTCTATTTCTGCTTTGCAGATAAGATCATCTATACCATTTTTTCTAGATTCCACATATACAATATTATTTTTATCAAAAAATATACAAGCAATAAAATGCTGGAGAGGATGTAGGGAAAAACGGAATCCTTTTGCACTGTTGGTAGGAATGCAAATTGTTACAAACACTATGGAGAACAGTATGGGGATTCCTTAAAAAACTAAAAACAGAATTACCATATGACCCAGCAATCCATCTACGGGGCATATATTCAGAGAAAAACATAATTCAAAAAGATACATGCACCCCAATGTTCATTGACCACTCTGTCTTAAAGACTGCTCCCCTATCACTACTAGGCTTCCCTTGTGGCTCAGCTGGTAAAGTATCTGTCTGCAATGCAGGAGACCTGATTTGATCCCTGGGTTGGGAAGATCCCCTGGAGAAGGGAAAGGCTACCCACTCCAGTATTCTGACCTAGAGAATTCCGTAGACTGTATAGCTCATGGGGATGTAAAGAGTCAGACACAACTGAACGACTTTCACTTTCACTTTCTATTGCTACTGGGCCTGTGACTTTATTGTATTTTCTGCCCAGGACTTAGTCATGTCCAAAATTACTTGTCTGTTTGCTTTCTAAAATGAAAATATCTCCTGACATATTAATAAACAAGAAATGTCACAGCCATAAGCGATTTCTGGCCTTCAAATGTGAATGAAAGCGAAACTGTTAATAGCTCAGTCCGACTCTTTGTGACCCCATCAAATGTAGCCTGCCAGGATCTTCTCTCCATGGGAATTTCCAGGCAAGAAATGTGAATGAAGGCTCCCAAAACTGATCCATTCAGTGGATGCTGCCACCCCCTGCGGTGATCGTTGAGGTGCAGGAGGAATACAAGAAGCAGGATGAACAAAGAAATGGGATTGGCCCCAGATAGGTGAGATGCATATGAAAGGAATGAAACAATGAGCCCAGACGCTTGCATCTTGTCGTACATAGAATGCTAAATTTCTTCACTTGGTAACTGATCTTTGGACTTCAGACTGCCTGCTCCCTCTGTTGCAAGCTTGTATACAGCTTGACTTCCCCCCTGCCTCCTTGGAGCAGTTTTCTCAGAGCTGCTGAGATGCTGTCTCCCTGGCTTGAAGTTCTAAACATTCCCACCAAATAAAATAGCTCTCTACTTTTAGGTGGTGGCTATATATTTTAGTGGACAGTTTGTATACTTGTTAATTGTCTCCCACATAGAATGTAAGCTCTATGTAAGCCTTACTTCACTTCCGTTTCCCCAACATTTCGAATTAGATTGGGCTGGTATGCCCTACCTATTCAATTAACATTTTGAATAGATTTGGCATGTGTTATTAGCAACTATCATAATATAAAAATTATGACGATAGCAGCTAACATTTACTGAGTGCTTATTCTGTGATACTCAAACTGCTAAGTGCTTTACGAGTGTTATTTCACATAATCCACCAAATGTGCATGCTTGATAAATTACTTTTTTCAGTAGTGTCTGACTCTGTGCAACACTTTGGACTGTGGCCTGCCAGGCTCCTCTGTCCAAGAGAGTCTCCAGGCAAGAATGCTAGAGTGGGTCCTCCTCCAGGGGATCTTCCTGACCCAGGGATTGAACCTGTGTCTCTTAGTCCTGCATTGGCAATCAGGTTCTTTACCACTAGCGCCACCTGGAGAGCCCAATCCACCAGATAGAATTTACTTGTTGAGGACATACTGTGCTTTATTACTGCAAATAGCACTTAATAATAGTGGGTGCTATTATATCACCCACTTACAGGTAAGAAAACCAGAGGCACTGAGAGTTTAAGTAAATGCTTAAGGTTAAACAGGTAGCAAGGGAGTATGTTGAAGCTTTTTATGTTGCCTATTTCTCTGCCCAGTTCCTCTGGGGAAATTTTTAAATTTTGTTTTTATTAGTTTATTCTACCAGATGAACTCCTGGATCTTTCTTTTAGTCTATTTTACTGCTTTTTGGATAAACTTACCGGACTTTTGATTACAATTGCATGAAATCTCTTCATTAATTTGGAAAGAGTATAACATTTCAAAATGAAGTCACTCTCTTCTAGGAACATTGTCTCTATCTCTATTATGTTATGCTGCTGCTGCTAAGTCGCTTCAGTCGTGTCTGACTCTGTGCAACCCCATAGACGGCAGCCCACCAGGCTCCCCCGTCCCTGGGATTGTCCAGGCAAGAACATTGGAGTGGGTTGCCATTTCCTTCTCCAATGCAGGAAAGTGAAAAGTGAAAGTGAAGTTGCTTAGCCTACCAGGCTCCTCCATCCATGGGATTTTCCTGGCAAGAGTACAGGAGTGGGTTGCCATTGCCTTCTCCATTATGTTATGACCTTTAGGAAAAGAAAGTTTGGGAATTTTTTTTAAACAGATCCTTCTTATTTAAAATTAAGTTTATAATTAGCCATTATATTTTTGGTCACTCTTACAAATAGCATATTGTATGTCACATTTTGAGTTATTTATTGTAAATTCTCATCATTAAATGATTGTGCAAAGCCCTATATTTGAAAGGATTGGGTATTTGTTTGAGTCATTATGTGCTATGTTATCATATTTGGAGAAAAATACTCACTGCCCTGACAGATGGGTAAAAACAAATATTAAAACCAGAAAACTACCAATAGAATGACTGTTAAAAGTATGGGATTATAGCAGGGCAGTCCTGGGCTCAAGTCCTAGCTTTTGATTCTGAATATGTTACTTAGCCTCTCTAAACTTACTTTCATCTGTAAAGTAAGTGCAATGATACCTTCTACCCACAAGATTGTTGTAATACTCTGTCAAAGGTTTAGCATGCTGAAAGATACACACTAAATGTTTAATAAGCATTGGCTATTGTTAATAGGGCTACCAGTTCTAAAGTGATTTCCAAAGCTTTTCCTCCAGATTAATTAAACTATGAAGGGCTCATCATATTATGAAGTTTCACATTCCCTGGTGGAAGATGATGCAGAGAAGCCTCATAAAAAAACCAGTGTTGCTAGATTCACTTTTACTGTGATGTCTTTGCTTGTAAAAATGAATGGAGATATGATTTTTTTTTTTTTTTGCATTTTAAGCTCCTTCTGTGTTTATGACCATAAATATGTAGATACACATACATCATTCATTTAACTATTTTTTTTGCTAAAGTGTTGCATGGCAGATTTTTTTCATCTCATAAAATTTCTGTTGCTCCCTAGTAACCACTCACCTCTTCATGATGATTATCCATGTCTCCTTATGCTAACTCTGAGAAATGTACCCAGTGCTACTCCACCCAAAAAAAAGAAATAAGAAAGAAAGAATGGGATATCAAAAAGTTTTCCTATTTAATTTGAATCTGACCCTGTTTCATCTCACTGGGTATGTCTTGGTTCTTTTCAAACCTCTATTACTGTGACCATAAGCACTTGCCTGTTGGTGGGGAGGGCTGTCTTGGGGTTTAGAATAAGGTTCACTTAGTCGGAACCAAAACTCCTTCCTCTGGTTTTGATCTTTTTGTTGTAGCTTTCGTTAGAATATTATTCTATTTTCTACATTAAATGGGTCAGTCTACCCTTTTCTCTGAATAAATAATATGTAGTGGCCATAATTTACTTTGGAATGTTGAAGTCATTGCTATGCCTGGAAAGGTCCTCTCCAATATATTATATACATATATATATATATATATATTTTTTTTTTGCTCCTCCAAGGGCTCATTTTTATTTTTTAAATTAATTTATTTATTTTAATTGGAGGCTAATTACTTTACAATACTATAGGGGCTTTTGCCATATGTTGCCATGAATCAGCCACAGGTGTACACGTGTCCCCCAT